AAAAAGAAAAAACTATGCATGGATTTAAAAAATTTTTTGCACCAGAATAACTTGTGCTAACTTGTTATAACGTGGTTGAATAGACATGAATTCTGTAAAATTTGAAGAACAAACATCAAATTTATGGTATAGCTTGGGTATAAGATTAGTGAAATTATTGATGCTTTATGAAAAGTTTATAGGGACAATGCCCCCCCCAAAAATCAGCAGTTTACCAATAGACAACTCATTTTAAGAAGGGATGAAGGCCACAGCAGCAGATCATCCACATCATTCCATGAGAAAATAATTCATCTTGCTTGTGTCCTAACTGAAGAGGACTGACAATGGTCAACAATGGTCAACACTGCAGACATCCCAATTGACTCAGCTTATACAATTCTGATGAAAAAATTAAAGTTTATTAAACTTTTCACTTGATGGGTAACAAAACTGTTGTGCCCAGCTCAGCTGCAGAGTAGAGCAGACCATTCAATGGAAATTTTATACAAGTGGGATCAAGATTCTGAAACATTTTTTCTAACAACTGTGACAAGAGATGAAACAAGGCTTTACCAGTATGATCCTGAAGATGAAGAGCAGTTAAAACTACCAAGAGATGGAAGTGGTCCAGTCAAAGCACAAACTGGTCATGTGCAAAGGTCATGGCAACAGTTTGGGGGGCTGTTCAAGGCATTTTGCTTGTTAACTTTCTAGAGGGCCAAAGAAGAATAACATCTGCTTATTCTGAGAGTGTTTTGACAAAGTTAGGAAAACTTAAGCAGAAAAATGCCTGGGAAAGCTTTACCAGAGAGTCTTTTTCCAACATGACAATGTTCCTGCTCATTCCTCTCATCAAATAAGGACAATTTTGTGAGAGTTTCAGTGGAAAATCATTAGGCATTCACCATACACTCATGATCTGGCTCATTCTGAAATTTTTTTTTTTCCTAATCTTAAAAAATGTATAAGTAGCACCCAGTTTTCTTCAGTTAATCATGTCAAAAAGGCTGCATTGACACGGTTAAATTCCCAGGCTGGTGTTATCACTTGCAAAAGTCCTCATCTTGAAGGAGCTTATGTTGAGAAATAAAGTTTATATTTTTATTTTTGCCTTTTAATTTCATTTTTCCATGACCTTTTTGAAG